GGACTGTCCAAGGCGTCTACAAACTGATCCCTAAGCAACAGCTTGAGGACATCAGGTGGTGCAGTTGGGTAGGCCTTGTGTGCCATATTTTCCAAGTCCTGTGCCAGCTCTTGCAGGATCTCCCCTTTAGCACGGACTCTAGTCTTAAACCTAGCCCTGTAAACTTCGGACTGATTTTGAGTTCCATACCTGTGTTCTATAGTTGTGCCTGTCATCTGCTGACAACTGTCCAAGTATTTCCAGTGGATGTCCGTTCAGCCTCGTTGCCAGATACACTGCTTTCTGCTCCTCTGTCCATCCATTCATTTCTGCCAGGAGCTCAAATTGTGCTCTATATGCTTCCCATGGTGCCTTCCCATCGAATTCCTGTGGCTTTCTTTGTACTAGATCACCCCTATTGCTGACACTCATGTTTGGAATGTGACTTCTGACAGGACTGAAGATGTCTGCGTGGTCTGGAAGCGGCTTCCTGTTGTATGAGGCTGATTAGGTCCATGACTAATATATCCTTCTTGTGTAAAAGACAGTAAACCCTCCTTTAATGTATTTAATTCACTTTGAAATTTACTAATATTTTCCGTTTGTGTATGCTGGCTTTCTCTCAACTGTTGGAGACTTTCTTCATTTTCTTTATTTTCTTTCTCCTCCAATCACTGCTGTAGTCCCTCTTCTTGTTTATTTTCTCGTTCTTCTTGTTTCTTTTCTTTCTCCTCCAACCACTGCTGTAGTCTCTTTTCTTGTTTATTTTCTTTTCCTTCAACAACTGCTGTAATCTCTCTTCTTGTTTCTTTTCTCGTTCTTCTTGTTTCTTTTCTTTCTCCTCCAACCACTGATGTAGTCTCTTTTCTTGCTTATTTTCTTTCTCCTCCAACCACTGCTGTAGCCTCTCTTCTTGTTTATTTTCTCGTTCTTCTTGTTTTTTTTGCTGTTTTTGTATTGCTGCCATCAAATCTGCTAAGTTGGAGTTTGATTTGCCACCTCTGGTTTTCTTTTTTTTTCCTTCCCACTCTCTGACACTAATTTGTTGCGTATCTGCTTGTTTGTTAATTATCCGTAGAAATTCTTTCCGAGAAACTTCAGTGATATAAGTCCTTTCTTAATTAAAACTAGTTTATTCTTTCTCGATACAACTTTCCAATACACAGAATTTCCACAGTCAATACGTTTGCAATCTCTATAACAAAACACACACTGTATAATACCGTCACTACCGCTGCTTGACTCAGTTATCTGTCTCTATATCTATCTATCTGCAATCATATCTCCGCTTTATTTGCCTAGAACAGACTAGAATTGCCAGAAAAAGTCAAGATCCTTCAAGAATCTCATGACATGTTACCAGCGTCACGTGACTTCCGCTGTCGTAACATTACTCTTGATTAAAACTTTAACCAAACAATATTTGAACGTTGAAATGGAAACATAAGTCAGACTTTGTTCATTGAAACTACATCGACTTCTCCTTAGCTCTCTATTATATATACCCCCCCC